ATCAGGTTGCCATCAATTTGAAGAGAGTTGCATTTAATTTGACTTATCTTCCCATGGGAAAATTCTTTAATGTGGAGTACCAACCCATGCTAGTAAATCTTTATACTTTTTACTCCCTAGGACGTAAAATTTCCTCTTATGTTGGATGTGTATGAACTGTGTACACCAGACCTGCAGGAAAAAATGGTTTCTTACCGATCAAAATTCAAAGATYTAGAAGACAAAAAAGTAAATCAACAGCCAAAGAATGTAAGTCTCCTGACACTTTAATTCATACATCTGAAATTGGGGTACTGATAAGGACTAGAGAAAACTTGATGTCCTTAAATATAATATTTCCTTACATAGCAAACTCCTTGTTATTGAGGTTTGGATCTTTTTATTCTGATGAGCAGTGTGAAATGGTGTAATCAGACAGCATGTATTAAATGTATTAAAATGTARTGCTTCTGCTTACCAGTGCTTTGACTAAAGGTCTTCTGTAAATGACACTAAAGTATTCTCTGCAAATATTACTGCTTGCTGGCTGCTCACTGCTTCAGTGCAGTGTGGGAAGCTGTTCCCTGCTCACCAGCTGGAAGGGATTGTACAAGGGACTGGACGTGTCTGGGTGATAAAAATTAGAACACATGTACTGGTGAGCCTRAAGTCAGCCCTCTAAAAACTTGGTAAATGGTTTCATGTCTTATCCTGTCCACATATTCTAACATGAACATTTTAATGAAGAAAAAAGTAAAATGAGCTTAAACTGCAGTGTTGTAGCCTTTTTTTTAAAGTTTGCTGGTCTTTTCCTGGCCTAACTCCTGGCAAATTCTTTTAAACRTTTGGATAAGGCTTGCATCCCCTCTTACACAAATGGGAGCAAGGAAGAGTGCTATTTTTGAACAGACAGAATGTATTGGCACTAAGAGTTTGTCTGGCATTTGCTTATTGTCACTTCTGCTGCTAGCAAGCCCCCAACAAGGAATAAATCTTCAGTTGCAGAATTGTTTCATAAACAAACCCATAAATCTGGTGGGTGAGYAGTGCAGGCACCATGTGCTAAAATGGTTATATATTTTGCTTTAAAACTGCTTTTCTTCAGATAAGGCTTTTATAAGAACACCAAAATAATTCAGTAATGAACTTTTTTCAAGTTGAACAAAATTGTTTAGACTTACAAACATATTTAAATGAATGGAGACTTGCGATTTGACATGATTGTGCTAAAGCTTTTATTAAACCGTTCCACATTAATTCAGCTTGCTCTCTTTTTTAGTCTAGTAAAAGCGATGGTGCACAGAAAGAAGTTAAATATGAACCATTTTCTTTTCCTGATGGTGAGTACAGGGAAGCAAATCTACTTCAAAGTAATTTTCTATTTACTTGTGTTTAAGTGTGCCTGATGGTAGGARTATTTTGAGAACCCTGGCTCTCTTTACTGCCTTTGAAATTTAMTCTTTAGAGACTGACAGAAATTTAAGGAATGGAAAGATTAGGTAAACCAAAATGTTGAGATAGTCAAAGGCATAATTGCCATCCGTCTGACAAACTGGTGATAATAGAAGACAGGCACATCAAAAGACATTTSTATGTAATGTGCAGTTGTTTTGCACACTGCCTTATCAGTGGGTGGTAGAAAGCTGAAATCAAAACAAAAACTGAAACTGGACCTTTAAAAGTGCTGTGGTGGTGCTGGTGTTGCCTCAGTTTTGGGAGTCTTGGAGCCTGAAGGCCCAAAGCACCCGCCCTGTGCAGTACAGCAGTAATATCTATTGGTACTTTGTTATTTCACGAGAATGCACAGCATCCCCAGTTCCCTGAGACTCTCCTGGCTGAGAACTGCTGCTTTCAGTTCACAGTGGTTTTGTACCGTGCTGTACCTGGGGTTTTACACACACAGCTACTGTGCTGTGGCCTGGCTGATGCATCTTTGGTCTGCAAGCTGTTAAAAATACTGCAGCTGTTCAAGTAGGACTCAACGTTGTTTTTTCTTTCCCCTTCAGACATTGGCTCTAACAATTGCGGCTATTATGACCTGCAGGCAGTGCTAACTCATCAAGGCAGATCAAGTTCTTCTGGGCATTATGTGTCTTGGGTTAAAAGGAAACAAGGTAAAAATAAATAAATGAATAAATTGCAGCCCTGTTAACCCCTCTTCACAGCTCCTTTCGTTAAGCAAGCTTAGATTTTATGTAGCTAAGTTACAAATACTGCTCTTGTTTTYCTTGCAGATGAATGGATTAAATTTGATGATGACAAAGTCAGCATTGTTACACCTGAAGACATTTTGAGGTTATCTGGGGGTGGAGACTGGCATATAGCTTATGTTCTACTCTACGGGCCTCGCAGAATCGAAGTGGTTGAAGAAGAAGCTGAACAATAGTCTTCCGTTTTAGCCATTCTGCCTAGGTGTGAAATAAATGTTGATTACTGATCACTTCTTTAACCCCAGAGCTTTAGCAAGTGGATAAATAATTTGTTCAAACCTTCATGTGAAGAGGGATGTTGTTTTAAAACTGATCTATGTACCAATTAGTCACTGCTGGACTGGACTGCCCACTGTGGTGGTGACAATACTTAAAATAGCTTTAATGTCTTGCAGAAGATAATTTTTTTTTTAATGAGCCTCTCCTCCTCCTTCTTCTCTAATGTCATCAAGTATTTATTACACACCTACTCTCACATTTGTTACTCTTGCATGGTTTATACCACAGTTCAGTAGCTGTCCATCCTATGCCTTACCTGGCAGTTCTGTTAGGAAGGTAGAAGAGAAACYGTTGCCTTGTTGTGTAACTCAGTGCTGCTGCCCGTAGCCAACAGCTGTGGCTACAATCAAGTATTTGTCCAGCCTGACCTGCTGATTCAGTCTGTTCTGTTGCTGGCATCTCATGATTTCAAAATAAATTGTGATCAACAATGTGTCCATTAAAAACAGCTCCTGTCCTGGTACTGCAGTCAGTATGTGTTTGTTTTCACTTCTTGGGCCACCACTGAATGTCTCAAAGCAGTCATGGAATAAAGTCACTTTTTTTTTTTTTAAGCTGTAGGGATGTGTCTCCTGTCCTGTTACTCTTTACTCAGTAGGTGGCTGCAAAACTSGGCTTGCTTACTTACAGCACCTTGTGCAGTAACCTTGTGCAGCGTGTGTGACTGCAGTACAAAAAGCATTTCAGTACTGGCTACAGCCTAAGAAGCACTGTCAAGGCCATCACCCCCTCACGCCTCTGTGTACAGGTTCCCAGTGTTGATGTGTCCCAGTCCCTTCTGGGAGGGCTGGTCAATATTCCTGTGAAATACTTTCCCTTCCAYTGGCAGTGTGGGGAGTTTGCTCATGCCTCACTTGTTTGGAAAGGATCCCTCTTTTATCCTTCCTTGGGGACACTGGCATCAGCTGTGGCCTTCAGCAGTGGCTCTTCTGCCTTACAGTTGTTACTCCAGTGCCACCTCCCCTGCACAGCTTCCCCTGGGAACACACCACAGGCCTTGGTGTCTATTTTAAGGAAGTGGCACAATGCCTGAAGGCAAGTTCTACGCAGTAAGGAGAGCCCTTGATGGTACTGGCTCTTCCTGCAGCCCCCAAAGAACCACCACCGGCTCCTGTAGGTTAAATGCTTGTTCTGCATCCTGTTAGAGGGGAAGGAGGGATGGTGCATGTGCCTGGTTGCYGCTTTGTGGAACTACATCCTCCCATCATCATCCTCAGCTTTCCGGCATTGAAGAGGTCAGTTACACATGCACCCCTCTCCTCACACTATGCTCAAGTCCCTTAACCAATTGAAACTACTCAAGTCCATACCTTCTACCAATGCCTGCCTACAGCAGGAGCTAAGCCCTGGACTGTTATTTCCAGTAACTGTCCTGTATCTGTGCCCCTACCAACCTTCACTGAAGCACATTTAAATCCAGAGTGGGGGAGCAGGCACAAAGCTCTTACGGCTCTGCAGGTGGTAGCTAACCACTCTGGAAATTCACAGCGCTGATTTAACAGCTGAAAAAATAGACGAGTGCAGTGGAAGGTAGTTTTCTAAACACTGATCCATTGCTGAGATCTTGCTGAATGACAGAAACACTACACTAACTAGACACAGAAAAAGTTGTAGCCAGTAAAGAATTCCAAGCGAACTAAGAGACTTAGCRCTTGGCTTATTGCCTACTGTTGCTATTGCTGCTGTAAAAGAATCAGAAAAAATAGCCCAGGTAGTTCTGCAGTGAGTAACTTCACAGAGGGGCTACAAATACTGTCACACTTAGCCTCAAGGGCATCTACTGCACTATAAGTAAGAGAGAAACAGGATGCCCTACTCAGTGAGGCCTTCACTGTGATTGGCAGCACAATGATGCTACCGTGTGTTACCCCTGTAGAATGGAATGGTATTGAAATTTCTTGGGACAAGGTAAAGGCTCATCCAAAAGGGGCATTTTCTATAAATATGTAAAAATACATAAATGCATTAAGAGTATTAGGAAAAAAATCTCAAAACCTTCAAGCCATGTCTGCACAGAGCTTCTATGATATACTCACTAACAGCTTGACTTGGCTTCACCTGAAAACTTGGTTTGAGGGACTGAATTTAYACATATGACTGCTTGGCACTTTGGGGATGAGTCTTTTTCTTATTCTCATTACAGGACTTCTTTGCCTCTAGAAATTGTTCCAACTCATCAAGAAGACAGAAGCGAACATGATGGCTGCCCTTGTAATCAATTCCTCCTTAAACAAAAAAGTGGGGGAGGTGTACAAGTGGCAGCTACCCAGCCTGCTGGCCTGCACAGCCTGCTTGACCTTGATMAAAGGCCTTTTCCTATGGGAAAGCAGATACCAAAGCATCAATTCCTGCCACACACACCTGTGCGAGAAGGCTTTAACAGCCCTAGAACATTGGGCTTTGGGTCTACGTGGGACATGGGAATGTTTTCCGGTAATAGCAAGAAACTGGCTACATGGTACACCCTAAAACATGGATGCAAAAAAACCATACCAATACTCAAATGTGCTTAATAAAGAACATCCTGATAGATAAGAAACAGAGGTCCACATTGTTATTTGTCAAACTGCTACAGCCAGCTGCCACTTAATACCAAAAAAAAATCTGACTTCTTGAGGGAAAACAGGTTGTACCCATCTACAGACAGCCATGGCCTTAAAATGAAACCTTCACAGTAACTCGTGACAAAAAAAATTTGTCTACCATGATTCAGAGGAGTTTCTATATAGCCAAAGAATAAGAGGCTAAAAATAATCACTAATAAAACCCAGCATGGAAACCCCRTGATCATTGACTGAACCAGTTCTTCAGCTGGAGAGCAGCTCAGTACTTCTTCCCTGGAAGTCAATGCTATGCCTTGGAGTGCCATCACAACAACCCTCTYATTTTACCTCTGCCAGGGAGGTTTTCACAGTCCTCAGCTCCCATCACCCCAAATGGTAACTCGGAAGTTCTTCACTCAGAGTCCTTCCCTGCTGTGATGAATGAGGCTGCCAATGCTCTGTCCAACGGGAGTGACCCAAGTTCTGCTGGTGCCAAACCCTCCCAGAGCCTGCACCAAAAGCTGCCTTGACTCTCCATCCTCCCCTTTATGCTCTACCATCAAAGATGAAGCTTCCTAGTTCTGGGCCAGGGCGACTAAAGTCTTTTCTCAGACAATCTGGACAATCTAACAGTATTATTAAAAAGCTTTATATCATTTACCAAACATAAAATACCTATCAAAAATCTGTTACCTAGCRACAAAAGTAACAATTATCAATGACAGGCACCAGAAGAGTCACAATTACCAACACCCCAGCCCCAAATCAGTCAGTTGGCATCTGAGTTAGCTGCTGCCTTCGGTGTCATTGGTGAGGCTTTCRGCCAGGTCCCCAAGCCCAGCTTTGTTCAGTGCCATGATCAGGTTCTCGGGGGTGGCGTGTGTGCCCTCTTGATCCTGCCAGGCCACCAGCAGCTGCTTTGCTCTCATCTTCACGTCCTCGCTGTCCAGCTCAATCTGCCGGATATCAGACTCCTTCATCTCCAAGTAGGGGGCCAAGGCCTTCCACTGCTCCCCCAGCCTGTTTGCAAAGGACTCGATCTGCTCTCCTGTCATGGCTTTGTCCCGTTGCACCTCTGGACCTGGGAAAAACAGAGAGGGAATTAGTGAGACCCAGGGAACATCTCCAGATACTGCAAATTAATCCTCCCTGCCCTGCCCCATTTTAAATCTTCTGTTTATTTACTGACAGCCTGACTTACACCTTTCCTGTAGCTTTTCAAACCTACTCGACCTTCATGAGCAGATTTTTACAAGATGTTTACCTGGGTTTCAATAGGAATGTCCTTTAACACCCATAATAAAGAAAATCTTGCTTTTTGYCTCCTATTATACTGAGAGAAATGAKAAGTCCTAAATACATCAGAACTGCCTCCTCCAAATGAAAACAAGGATTTTGACAGGCAGACTACAGTTTTCAACACAAGTCAATTATAACACAAAAATACAGAGTGATCTTTAACATTTAGCTGTCTTTTGGAATTTTTTTTAGCCAACTTACTCAAAGCCAACCCCGGTAAAAAAACCATACCAACTCAGCTTCCTTTGCTTTTTTTCTCATGTTGCTATTGGCAGCAGGACCRTGACAGTAAATTTCCTGTGTAGTTAGTACTTTAAGGAATTTTCTATCATTCTGGCATTGACAGAAGAACCATGGAATACTAGGCTCTGCTGAGAAGCYAAATGCTGTAGTGATTGCATGGATAGCTTTGCACATTCATAGCTTATCATGGTCTACAATCTGTGGCTTATCACCCATGTTTATTTCAAAATATCAYTGAAACACCAAAGATTGAATTACGTAGTGAAATTAATAATATTCTTAATATTTAATAGAATATCTCATCCTTGTCCCACCTGAAGAGACAGTTGGCAGGGAACAGAAATTTCAACTCTCTCCAGTGCTTACCAGTCACACTGATTTATCTGAACTGAAGTCACATCATTGAGGGGAAAGGATAAAAGATCCTGAACAACCAAACAATAAAAGCTCTCAGATCACTTCCCTTATGTCAAACACAGCAAACCACAGCTCTGCCCTCGTTGCTTTAAGACAAGATTTAAAGAAAGATGTAAATCCCACACAGTGACATGACACCACAAAGGCTGTGTGAATTAGCATTCAGCTGAAGAGGAAAGAACTTCTCTACTACTGGCAAGCAGATTGTGAAAGGTCAGATATTGGATGGAAAAGGGCAACATGAGAGAGATTCATAGGGGTCCACAGGTGGCTTTCCACTAACAGAAAAAAGCTTTCAACAAAGCTGCCAGAGGTACCCACTGTTTGGCTTCCATGCCCTGCATATCCCATCTGCCCATGCTGGATCCAGGAGCTGGCACAGTGTTACAACACCCAAGGGAGAAGGTGCTGTGAGATGAAGGCATGAATGAGGATGGAAGAGGGCAGATTCACAGACAAAGGAGATGGGAACAACACATGGGAGCAGGAGATGCCAGGATTAAAGGCAAGAGACAAACAGGAGTGGATTGTGGAGAAAAATGAGTGAGGATATTTGTAAGGAAGGTTGCTCTTCTCACAGAGAACCTTTTGCCTTTAAGATATTTTAAATGAAGAGGAAGTAAAGACCGCAGAGTTGGAATATATCCATTTTTGAAAGTCACACAGCTACCACCCCAAGAGGGGCTAGGGGAAGGAGCTTGCCCCAGTAATTAAACGGCAGAGAGAGAGAACAGTAAAGTGAGGAGCACTCACACAGACTTTTGCACAGCTGGTATTTCAGCTGTGAACACCCAGTGACACTGTCAATATACACCACGTAGCAGAAAAAGTGAAAGAGGCTCGTAACGAAATAGCTTATCCAACAGGTTGGATGCTTTTAGCATTGAAGGCCAGAAGAYTGGGAGGTTGCTCCTGGAGCCCCGTGTCCCAAACAGGCTGTGCTTTTTGGTACAAATGCACTAGGATAAACAGGACTGATGRCCCTCAGTAGAAACTATGTTAAAACACAGATTCTGCAATACACATCAAGAGAAAAACTGAAAAGACTGAGAACATGCAAATCTTACTTTCATTGTTTTCCTTTAATAAAGCATCATTATCTTCCTCATCTTCATCTTCACCTGTTTTTATTTCTTCAGAAGGAGGCTACAATAAAAGAACTATACATCACTGGATGAATTTTGTGTTCAAAGAGAACTGTGCTTGTCTCTGGAATGTGTGTTAGAATGGAAAGCCTGACATGGTAACACATGAGAATTAAAATCCCCCATAGTCTCCTAAACAAGTAACAGTAACAAGTTSTCATAAAACATATTACTAACTAAAAAACCTAATAAAAGCATCCACTGACTTCACAKGATTCTTCCATTTCATAGTGACAACAACTAAGCATTCCCTAGTGAACTTTATTACTTGCTTAAAAAAAAMCAGCCAACCTGGTTGAGATCACTAATGATGAACATTTAAAAAAAATCATTATTACTGTTATTCACTAATTTTATTCCTCACTTGGGAATTCCTCCAAGTTTCTGTACTTTCAARTATCTGGAAGGTGGCAAACAAATATACGAACAACAAACTTTTTACTCCCTCATTTAGCTACTGATCAGGCAAAAGGCTTCCTCTTTTTCTACATTTCAGCCACAGGCCTTATGCACATATTTGTTTCTTGCTATAACATAGGACACATGACAGTAGTACCATCAAGAACATTGCATACAGCAATACCTTAATACATTCAACAAATTAAAATACATCTGCCTCCCAATATTCTAAACTTGCTATTAGCATACATTAACCCTGATGGCATGACAAATGAAACAGTCATGTATTAAAATTCAACCTTTACACCTCAATAGTTTCACATTACACACAAGCAAAGTCCAGTAGAGAAGCAGGGGTTTGTATGTGCAAGACATTGCTGGGTTGTGTGCTAACTCAAAGGTGTAGAAAGTGCCCCTTCCCCACTGTCAGCCTCTCTTATCGCTGTGTATAAAAGTGATAAGGGACCTGAAAGGCCCCTCCCTGGACTCAAATTTTACTCTTGACCAAGCAAAGGGTTAATGCCTTAAATTTACAGCTCCACAAGGTTTATTCTTATTTTGCATATTTTAGACATCAGGGAGCTGATAGAAGAACTCTGGCAAACCTTGCTGTAAAGCTCTGGTAGCAATAAGCACAGCACCTTCAGCTGCACACACTGCCCTTTTTCCTGCCATCCCAGTATATTCATGAACCATAATTCTGGCTTATACCTTCCATTAAAGTGTCTGCACTGCAACACAGAACCCAGGCTGCTGGGTTCACATATATACATGTAAGTGCATATACACACACACATATATATATTTATACACACTCCTGCATACCAACAGGATTACCACACCTGGTTTTTTCACAGAGTACAAGGCAGGGCTCAACAGTTACCTAGGTTAATCAATGCTACTCAGTTTAGTGTTACTGGGATCTTCAGAGATTAGACTAATTTTATTTGTAACTTTTACTTTGATGTGCAGACTTTTTTMCTGKTTKTTTTTTTTYCYTKSCCCCTCTGTTCCCATGTACCAAATGGACTGCAGAGAGACAAGCAGAAAGCGAAATAATTCAGCATTTATTATTATAGGATAATAGTACTTACAGGCAGCTCCTTGGCTAATTTGATTACCATGTTTTCTAGATATTCAGGTAAACTCTTGAATTGTTGGTTTGTTGGCTGGAAGAAGTGGGGACTTCTGCGTGCCAGAAGTCTCAGTGCTCTCCAGCCATAGTTAGAATTGTTCACAGCCCTACAATAAAACACAAGTTTGATCAGTAAAGTCTGGCATCCCCAAGAGCACAAAGAAAGTTTTGAGACATTTAGTAGTATAATTTTGTCCAAATTTAAGCATTCTTGTACATTTCTGGAGTTCAACACAGATATTAGTTATGCTGAGAACAGTCCGTTTTCTTTAACAATCTGTCTTGGGGTGATTTTATGACACTACTCSTGCTCGTCTGCTTTATGCCCAGACAGGGGTTCTGTAGCTCCCGGGGGTGGCAGCTGGGGGAGCTCTGGTGGCTTCGTTCAAGCACACTCCCCACACGCTCAGCTTGTGGAGCACATGGGTGTTACTTGTTGCTTTTAGCAAGCTTGGTTTTTGTTAGCTTGGGCAAGTTTTCCTCCCASACTGCAGTAGCAATTGCTYYRTGGTTTCTGCTGKTTCTTCTTGGACTGTATGGCTTATTTTTGGTCCAAGACTGGACCATCAGCAGGAGCCAGCTGGTGCAGACTGGTGGGGAAACTCGCAGGGACACCGCACTTCAGCCCAGACCTTGGGAGAAACTGCACCAACGAAAGAAAAGACACTAAATCCACCAGCTTCATCTGCTGTGAGMAGGAGACCAGCATCAGAGGWWMACCAGGTTCCCATCTGCTTTTTCCCCTGAGCTCTTCCGTGGACTTTCCTTCCCTCCCCAAGACAAAGCTGTCCATCATTTTGCTCCTTCTTACCACATGCTCAGTAGAGTTTTTTTCCCCCCTTCCCCTGGCATTTTGAGTTTGTTTGTTCTGCTGTGGGTGGGGTAAGGTTCTGAAGGTTCAATAYCTAACAGTTACTCATTTTTTCCCGTGYCCTGTGGGCATCTTGTTTGTCAARTAAACAGGTTTTTTTCACTTTRATCCAGAAAATTCATTTTGTGKCARYGGGAAGGGATTGCTGAAACCCTTTTCTTTTAGAGRAAACATYCATTCCAGAGTGTTTTCTCCCAAACTTGTCTCTAAACTGAGACACAATCCAAACATGAAAGAGAATAAAATCAAGTGAAACGAAAGAGAGATGGACATACTTATACTTATTTTCAACCATGTTTTCAGGGTCTGCTTGTTCAATAGCTTCTTCAAAAAATTCCTCCAATGTTGGCATATATTCCCTAAAAAAATCAAATAAGGAGCTTAATATGCTTCACARCTTCTCTAAAATACAGTTTTTGGTTCCTTCATACACATCTCAAGCTCATCCACTAAAGAGAAAAAAACAAACCCAAAACMAATCCACTCAAATGTAACCATTTTAAATAAGCAAAGAATCTGACATGTTGCTATAAAATTATTTACTGCATAACTACTGGGGCGTGCCAGCAGTCACTAGCACTGTGTATTATATACATTTAAACCTCCTGCCATGCCAAGAGGTGACATCAACATCTGTCAAYGGTATTTGCACAGCTCACAAATGCCCAGGAGTCTAAAATGATTGTTTTGTGCCATTTGACAGGATCAGTTAAACGTGGCTCTCCCCCCACCCCCATTTCAGTTCCATCTGCTCTCRGAACTGCAGTTGGTTCTGACAGGTACTCAAAGCAGCACAAAAGGAACCCTAAAAGACCTAAAAACAGAACAGAAATGAYACTTCACACCATGATGACAGTCTGCTGTTGAGAAGACTAACCAAGAAACACAGATTGCATAAGAGCTATAGGTTACTGAGAGCCAAGATTCTCAATGCAAAGCAAGCTTGTAATGATCTGTATTTCTCCTACCTAATGCTGACAAGAGACACCTGGTTCTGCAAGGGAGTCTAGTAATGCGCTGGAGCAGGCTGTGAAGCACATTGGTCTGTAAATTCACTTAAATTTTGTTTTGAAAAATGCATTTTGCCCAGGGTAGCAGTGGCCTGTGCATGTTTAAGGGTAGCATCAGCACTGACTACAAAGCCAGCACCTTGAAAACCCATCTAAGTCCTGTTGTATTATCCCCAGAACAAAAACATCTAAAAAGAGGACAGCTAAGGAAATATTACCTCATCTAAATGGAGATGTGAGGAACCAAAGTAAAAAGCTACAGTCACTTGACCACGTACAGCCACAAAGTCTGTAGTAAAAACTTGGAACCAAATCCAGATCCCATGGGATCTGTTTCCTGTTTACCATGGCATGCATTTTCTTGGTTTATCTCCATTTGTTTAGGGTTTTATTTATTTATCTATTTTTATTTAAAGACATTGCAGGACAATACAATCACACACGGGGAGTCAAAAGCTTTGGTTCCAAACACAACTCCACCTTCAGCCCTTGGCCTAGTAAAGGCAAGTATCCTGCCAGAGACCTTCCTGTACATCCCCAGACTCACAAGTAAGGAGAGCACTTCCTCTGCAAAGCTCTAAACCTCTGGAAAAGTAATTCCTCCATTCAAKGTGTCTGCACAGCTAGCACCGCTCCACAGGCAACCAGACTTAACAGTCACTACTAGCAGAGTTCTCCTTGGGAACTGTCCCATTCCTTCTCCAAATTTTCTTACTCTGTATCATGTCTGCACAGAAAAAGGGATTTTGGTATCTGAAACAAAGAAAGTTGTGTAGCAGAATGCATTTTAAGTATTTCCTACAACTGTGCAAGCAGAAGGGATAACCAATAATTGCATTTTTCTGGATCTGCCCCATGAATAGATCCAGTACGTGCTGGAACAATGCCAGCTAGCCAATCTCTTATCTAGCACTGTTMAAAGCACAGACCTGCTCAAAAATCATAGCCAAGTAGCTGCTAAATTCATCAGAGCCAGACCTGGCAAGCTTCCTTCATTATATAAGGAAATTAATTATACAATCATGCTCTACAAAATGGGAGTTCTGTTTTTCAGCCTCACTTTTACTTTACTAAGCAATGGAAATTACTGACATTATAAACACTAGAGGAAGTGAAGAAAAGTGAGATTTCAAGTGAGATTTCATATAACAAAATTCTCTCAAGACACAGTGAAATGCACACCTCCTATGACCATCTGGTCTATTTTCTAATGCCAATTTGGTAACTCTCATTAGAGTGCTAATTAGTTCGCTTCAGACAATGACACACCCATTTTTACCTACCTRCTCTCAGATTTACAGGCTTCCATGTTATCAGGACATAAATTCCAAAGGCGAGTCAGTTCCTCACTGAAAAGAAAAGCATAAACACACATCGTTTATGTTCACCGTTCTATTATTCCACACTTATGGACTGTTTTAAAGGTCTTAATGGTTACAAGGAAAGAAAACCTACTGCAAGTTTTAAAGGAACCCCTGCTCTTTCCTGGCAGTTCCCAAGTAAGTAAGTTTGAAAATTACTGCACAGAAAAACCAGTGGAGGAAAAAAYCCCAAACAGAAACCCCCCCMAACCAACTAACTAACCCAAACCCAAAACCCTATAAAGGAARAAGAACCCAACRTACTTCCCCATAAGGATTTTTTTGCTTGATCCTTTTCCTAAGAAGTCCTCTGGAGCTGGCCTCTTTCTCACAGGCCTCATTGGCTTAGAATCAGGAGGTCTGAAGAAAAACAAGAAAAGGATGCTCTTGAGTATCAAACCAGTARTATCTCACGAACAAAAAAAAGTGATTTCACCTTCACCTTTCACCTTCAGATGGTGACAAGTTGAATCATAATGAAAGGACTGAAGGACAGTGAGTCTAAGACTGGAAGGAGACAGTGGTGAACAGGAGAGAGAAGGCAAAATGAAGATAAGGGTTCTGCCAGACACCAAAATGAGTTCACTCAAAAATGTAAAGCTCTACCAGAGTCCCRATAAAGAGAAGGAAGCAAATCACATTTGTGCCAGCAGCACATATAAGTATGATCTACCCTGCTGCTGGGATCATCTGCTCTATGATTGCAAGGCCTCTTTCCCCAGCTGCACCTGATTTCATGGAATCAGARAATGGAGAACCTGGGGTTAGGGCAAGACCTACCCAAGCTGAAACTCTGGATGAGATCTAAAGGAGACAGAACATTTATAAAAGTCAAATTTCATAATTTTACTTCCCCATAATCACCCTGCAACAGTAATTTCTCTCTTCTAACAGCCCCCCCCTCCCTTTTTCAGTAAACACCTTTAGTCATGAAGAGGTGGCTGCACTCATCTCTCCAAGGAAATCTCCAAAGAGACAATGACCCAGATGCTCCTTACCACAAGGAGGCTACAAGTCTTTGTGTACAATGAAAAAGGGTGAAAGAAAATGTTCCGTCATCCTCTCAAGGTAAAGTAAATGCAGGGAGTCAAAGTTCAAGTTTTGTCACTAGTTAGTAAATTACACAGGAAACTTTCAGTAGTGAAAGCCACCTAACTGTCATTTCCCTTAAGTCATGAGCATCAAGTGGCAAACTAATAAATAAATTGTGTAAGAGAACTGTTACACACAAACTCCAGGTATGCTGCCCTGTCAAAGCCATAATGTCAAAGGCTCCTTTAGAGGCAATCCAAAGGGGCATATGGGAAAGTCAGGCACTAACCTCTTCAACTAGGATCTGCTGAAAGCAGGAGGGGACCCAGCCTGCTCCAGTCACCTTGTCAGTACCACAAAATGTTSCCTTTAGACAATGAAGAATGCTTTCCTGAGAGCCCACACACCTATAACCACCTCTTCCCTGACACTGCAAGCCTTATGACTTTTGGCAGGAATCCAAGAGCCTTCTGCACTTGCTGAAGGGACAGGCAACTGTGCAGATTTCCTGTATGAATGACTAACACTCAAATGCACCATGGGTACCATATTCGGAAGTGGAACCACCATTTCAAACAAGCAGCAGAAAGCTTCTGTTTCATAACAGTTACCTTTCTTTCACAAAGCTTGGGCAGCCCTCATTTTTCCATGAGTTCCAGTTTTCTTCAGTATTTAATATATGCTGGAGAAAGACAAAGTATTGCACATTATTAGRGTCATAATCAGTTTTGGAGTTGACCTCAAAGATTTAAACAGCTATTAAAATTAAAGGGAAARCTTTCTTCTAGGTTGTGTATTTCAATCACTATTTTAAAGACCATCAGTATAGTCTTAAAGAATTGGTTTAAKCTACTCAAAAAGTGTATCTCCTCTCTTCAAAAATTGTAAGAAAGGTGTTATTTCCCCTGATCTAGACAAGAAAATAGATGCAGTCAAAGTAAAGGAAAGAAGAAAAGCAAGAAGAAAACTTTTGAGGTTTTTATTAATTTTACTTGTATTTTATTTCCATTGTCTTKGGGCACAGGACTCCTACATGCAAAAACTTCAAATTTTTTTTTGCTTTCCATTAACTCATCTCTCCTGTATGTACACATGCACAGAGAGGCATATTTCTGTTTCTCCCCAGGAAAAGGAAGAAAAGAGTATTAATGAAAACATGGGATAAAATATGACTGTAAAATAAAAAGACATTATAAGACCTTTATTTACTGGGATGAGGTAAAAATTCTCTCAGATATAATAGCTGTGTTCCAAAAGCTGGTTTATGCTGATACTGCTTTTTTATGTGCTATATAGACCTTGTTCAGGCAGACATCAAAGTACTTACCTCTACCATTTTTGAGAATCTTTCCCCATCGGGAGGATTTTCTGAAAGAAGCTATAATTGTGAGAAAAGAAAGTGAACTTTTTGCATTTCACCTGTAGCAGAACATGTAGGAAAAAAAMCCCAGAGAAAATGGTGATTACTGCTTCAAAGGTGGTTGATACCTATTACATGCTTAATATTCTTCTAGCAATTTCTATGGAACTAGATACTGTACTAACCTGGTAAACTGCTTTTGTAGTATCTTCAATCCAAAGAGACTGTTCATCTGTTAGAACATAATTTGAACTGGAATTGAAAAAACAAAACAACACATCAAAAACTGTGCTGAGGTCACATAATTTACAATACATATCTTCTGTTAGAGGGGATCTGAGGAAAGTACTTTGAATATGATGTGCTCTGGTCCCAGGGACTGACCATTTTTTAGTTTGTGGAATTAATTAGATGTGCTTGGGGACTATACTTTCAAGGTTTAGTTTTACTGAATAGGAAGCCCATTTGTGTGATTCAAGAACACAGYTTCCTGTTGGACCCAAAATACAGCAAAATGGGCACAATGAAAACATTTACCCCAAAAACACTCACCAAGTGTTATATTACACCATTTGTATCTCATTCCATCCTTGACCACTGATAAACGAATGGTTTTAAGTAACATTTTAATGAACCGACCATGAAATGACTGTCATCTCAACAAGACAAGAACTGCAATGCAGAAGATCTGAATTCCATTCTTTCTCTGCCACTAAACTGCCTTGATAAATAATCTATAGAACTAGGATGGTGATACCAATCCAGTCTACAAAGTTCTTTAAGTGCCGTTTATAAAAAGCAATATATTGCAGGCRAGAGACAGCTACCTTGTTAAGGATGTGAATTATTATGTGAACATATGGCCCAGGGCACAGGAAATGAAGAGAAAGATGGGATTTTCATCAGCATAGAGATTAGGAACAAATGGAGTTTGGTTCTATCCCATGAATTTATAAAAGCAACAATCACCATTGTTATTTCTTGCCATTTTAGAGTTCTGTAGCACACTAGAAAAAGCAGCAAACAATGCCACATTGCAGAATTAGTATAGATCCAAAATGATGCCACACGCAAGTACATTGACTTGGTTTTACAACTTGATGCTGCCAAGAGTCTCCTCTCTTCTCATGGCTGGCACTCAGCATAAACAAGTTTTAATGGCCTCTGCTTCTCTGAGACCCCACAACTCACCAACCTGACAGAAAACTAATTCTGCAAAGATGAGCAGATTGGGTTTTTGCTGGTATAGTACATTGCACAAGTTGAGTAAGTCCAGTAACGTTAGAGCAAGGGATGGCAAAGAATCAGAGAGGAACASAGAAATAAATGAGACTTCTGCTTTCCTGCTGCAAAATAACTTCAGCCACACCCTGTATTTACCAATCCAAGGCTCCRAGTTCCACAAAAACCTCAGAATAAGTAGACAAACTATTTTAGAATATTTTGTTTAAATACAAGTTCCTAATTCCCCAACCCCAAAACACAAAATATTTTCACATTACCTTTTAAATTTGACTTGTCCCTTTAGATACTGAAATAGTATTAGGTACTGCAACAAGATGTGACGGCGAAAGTTACTGTCACTCAGCTGTAAATCCATCAGCTAAACAACAACAAAAAAAGGAACAGATCTTTGATTATTTACTCTGTTTTAACTTATCTTTGTAAAGGCAACRTTACAAATGAAATCCAATAAACAAATGGCAGCTTTACTGAAGATTTACTCCAGAAATAGAAGCCCCCAGGTAATTAAGAAGCAATCCACAAAGAATAAAATAGAAAAAAGAAAAAAAAATAGAAAAGAGAGCAAAAGAGAAAAAAGAATAGAATAAATCTATCTAAAGTGATCAAACAGTATAATGGGATACCCAGAGAAACTGTGGAATCTTGATCTCTGGAGATATTCAAAGCCCAGCTAGACACAGTGCTGATTAACTGCTCCAGCTGAGAGCTTTGAGTAGGGAGACTGAACGAGACACTGGTCCCTCCCAAACTCAAGTAGCCTGGGATTCTGAGAAGGGAAATCACATACCTTTTCACTAGTTAGGAACTTTGCAAAATATACATGYTCTCCTCCTGTTTTTAGTTCTTCCAACTTTTTTCGTGAAGCCTGAGTGTCGTCCAATTTGTAACTTTTGAAAACAGCCAAAACTTCTTCTGAGTACTATAAAACAGTTATTTACCACATTAAACAATAAAAACCAACTTTGTAGTTAGACAACTACACTAGACATAAAGCCAAGCAAGTAAAATAAGCTTGCAATCAGCCCATCAAAGCAACCCATTGGTCACCATTGTGCAGGGCCTCTCCGAACACCACAAATGAAGTGTTTCTTGCATCAGAATAGCTAATCATATGGAGTATTTAAAATATGTTAAGAAAAGCTATGTTTTGGSTTCTGAACAATGCATAATTCCTTTGCTGTTTAGACATGATGAAGAAAAAAGGTTCATGTGATGATAGTGCTACATTAATCTGAAAGACTTAAGTCTGTACTTGATCAGTTTCTGAACTGCACCTGTGGTGGTTCTATGTGGGGGTTTTTTCTTGATCCCATTAGTAGACCTCATTAATTAGATTTATATTAGGATCTCTGAGCAGATGTCACCTCTTATTACCAACAAACAGAGATTAAAAATAACTAGGCTTCTTTGATTTAAATAAATACTGAGTGACAAATTGTGAAGAAATGRTAGCTTAGCAATAAATCATCCTCAGTATTCACTTAAGCAAAACTGAAACAGCTGGCTTAAGGGGACATTCAAGTCATTGCTTCTATAAAGAGATTTGCTTCATTAGAAACCAATAATCTTTAGGATCCCACCAGCATCAATATGACTACTCAAAAATACGAGCTAGGACTAGGTAGAGCTATTTATCTTCTTCAGATAAAAAAATGCAAACTAACCCACAAGTTCTGCTTTTTGCAGCTGATAAACAACAAAAAAGGTATTTCTGGCATTGTTGCAACATAYGAAGTATTTCTGATATTGACATACACAAGTTGTATTAGGGGGCTTATGGTACATCTGAACACAACATGTTTGTTTACTGCCAAAGGCTCACTTCAGAAAATAGCATTTTCCAGTGGCCTGAGCCTTTCTATTGTTTAATGCTTACGCAGTCAGTGCTACTCATGCTGAAATGACTTTTACTCAGGCTGAATGGTKGAAAGCATGAATTTAGATTACCTTTAGAAAAGTTTTCCATGACACCTTCTCATAGCACTGCACAGGATTTCTAAAATAATCTTGAAGCGACCAGAATTTTCTATACAGGTTATAATCTATTGGAATGGAACTGTGGAAAAAAAGAATTTAAAAAAACTTACTGAAAAGCAATTCATTAAATTCAAGTTCATTCAGGAATGTACAACCCCAGAAAATATCATTCATTTTGGAAGTAAATGAATAAATCAGTAGTGAACCCTTGCAGAAAAATCTGTAACTTGTCCTTGTAAGAGTTTTTCGTTCAGTCTATCATTACTTTCTCACCATAAAAGCAAAAATARTACATAAAAAGGATCCCAGGAGCTTTGCAATATGTGGGGAATGAAGAGAAACACAGCTTTTTCTCCTAAAGCACATACTCAAAATCCCTGAATACACCTTRTCACAACAAGTTTTGTCAAGCGAATTTGGAAAACTGTCAAACCCAGACTGGTTCTCAGCCAGGGTATGCAACTTTTTCAAATCTGTGAATTTCTGTCTTTCAGGCAGCTCCATTTAATTAAGACACTGYCAGGAGTCCTCATTGATTAGACATATCTAATCTTGAGAGGGCAGGAGATGAGAATTGGGACCACAACATTTAAAGATTTTTCCTGAACAGCTTTTTTCCTTTCACTTTATGCTTTTAAAATTTCTGTAAGCTCACCAACTTGTTGGTGCTTCATCATCTCCCATTTCACCTTCTTCTACATCCATTCCTTCTTCCCTCTCCTCTGTGTGCTAAATAGGAAAAAAATATYTTAAATTTATGCAAATGCCACTACAGTTTGCCGAGTTCTCACAGCGTTCTTTATTACAAACATTCAATTACATATTAGCTCAGAGAGCCTAAGCTGGTAACTCAAAAGATCTCTGAAGTATTATTACCATAAAATGAGCAACAAATTCCCATCTTAATGCAATGCTAGCATCACTATTTCTGAAAAAGACCTGAAGAGACAGTTCTATCCTCTGCACACTGTGGAAAAAACTGCACAGTGACAGTGCTCATTCCTCAAATCAAAACAACCTTTTTCCTCTCAGAGTGCACTGTTTAATGTTACAGGCAATAGCCCTATTCCCAAAACAACAGCTTGGYAGAGGGACAACCAAATGGTGAACCTTCAGTCCCAAACACTAAGCACAGTAGCATATTTTTTGCAAACTATACGTTCACTGCAGAATCAGTGAAAAATAACATAAGAATTTTCACCTTCTGTCCCAGAGTGCTTTCATGTTCATTGGTATTGAAAACAGTGACATTTTCCAGGTTAAATTGGCTCTGCAAGTTAAGCCCTGTGAAAAACAAAGGGTAAGTCTTAAAAGCTGTGAAGTTCCCAGGACTGTTCACTCAGACAGCTGTTTATGAAATGCTGATACTCATTCTCAGAAACAGTATTCAAAATCTATGTTTGAAATCAAAGCAAATAAAAGTCACTTACAGTATCAAGGATAGGCACAAGAACTGGGATACAAGTGCAAAGTGACTTGGCCCAACTGGATTTGGACTGCAACCACTGTAAGTTTAGAAGGTTCTGCTTATTTAGCCTTGATGTTGTGTCATGAAATGCAAAAAATCTCACCTGACTTTTCTGAAAGCGGAAATAACCTAGCCAAGAACAGTTGAATTCTTCCACAAAAGACCGTGTTTTGYGACTTAGATAATCTTCTTAAGAGGTCTAGATATAATAAAAAGTAAAGAATATTAGTATTTATCCTTCTTTTCATTTCTCATATAATAGAATTCAATACTTGCTAACTACATGACCTACAGAGCTAATGAAAGGCAGTTCAGATTTGTAAATTTAAATGCTAGTGACTCCCTCTGATCAGACAGATTTCATCCAAATGCATTCTGCCAATTCTCCTAACACCTTCAAYACCAATAAAAAATAAATTCAAATGAATCCTACTCAAATACAGCCTCTGATATGAGCCTTGTCATTGCTGAGGAATGATATTCTTTCTGCAATGATCTCCACTGATGAAGAGAGTTCCYTGAGGTCTGAACAACTTTTACATTAATAAGCAAGACTCATGAATTCATATCTGCTGAGTGACGCACCTTTTAACTTCATTACTTGTTGAACACATCTGAATTTAAATCAAATTATTAAACTCGCTTTCATTTGCTGAGATAGGAAGTTCTTTAATTCTACTTCYCCCTTCCCAAAAAAATACCACTCACCATTGCACATGCGTAGCAAGTAATTTTTCCCTGCAGAGTAAAATGTATTCTGAAACAAAATAAAGACATTTAGAACATTCAGAGATCATAAAACCTTCTTGAGTGGATTTAATTCAATCATAAGATATGAGTAAGTATGAGTCACTCCTACAGATAACTGTAAATTTGAGTCTCTCCTTACATAAGAGGCAGGTTCCATGAAAAGACAACATGAAATGAGCAGTCCCACAAATTCCAAGAAGGCATAAAATACATTTAAATCCAGCCTTCATAAAAAAAAAACATTTGTTACAATGAATTGTAAGAACAGCAACCACTTTTTTTTCTTGGAATACACTAWTTTTGACAGTAATTTCCTTTATTATTCCCATGCATGATTTATACAAAYAAGTAGAGAGCACACACAAAAGATTTACAGCTTTCAAAATACTGGCTATTTGAAAGTAGGAGAAAGAAATCAGTAGATACTTGAATTAATAATAAAGAACAGTTTGTGAATATATCAGGGGCCACAATGTTATCTGAAACAGAACAGCTGGAGTTAGTGACTATGAGAGGAAGTCCTGGTTAGAAAATCCAGGTTAGGAAAACAGTGAGAAATTAGAATGCTTTTCAGGTGCAACCTTTGGAGCTCCTGACACTTACATGTCAGCTACAGACAGTTAAATTCTGTTCATAAAAATGGCTTGTGTAGACAAAAGCTTTGGTAAAACTATACAACATTTTGCAGAAATACTCACCGATTTCCATGTAGCAACATTTTTCTCCACAAAAGTGAAAATTTTGTCACACTGATCCAAAGGGAGGCAATCCAGAACATCCCCCAAAAGCACAAATGGAGTTGATGCAGTGCAGATACCTATAAGGAACAGGGAATCTTTTATTTAATAAATCTGAATAGAAATGCAAAAAAATAAAGATGCACTGCACTTGAGAGACGTTTAATTAAAATAAAAAAAAAAAAAGAAGAAAGTTGTTCTTCTGAGTTACTACAAATCCTAACAGAAAGCATGGGCTAAAATGTAAACTTTCATTAAGGCTACTTCTGCACATACGCAAATGAGATTTGCAAAAGCTTTGCACTAAAATAAAACAAATACTAAAAAAAAAAAATCACTGTTCTAAAGACCTCAGAGTCTGAAACAATGCCATATCTTTTTGCAGACCGCAAGTAAACTCTTTCAGACCTCTAAATCCACAGTTAGTCACTACACACACCCATGAAGCCTGAGAGCCTTTTCAAATAAAGCACTGCTAAACAGTGTTCCAAGGCCATCTATCCATGCTCTGCAGGCAGTGCCTGCATCCCTCATATCACAGTTCTTGTTATTCTACAGCTCATAAAACATAGATGTAGCTAACCTATACTTATTAAAACAAACTTTTTTTGATGAATAATGTGAACAAGAAACCATGTGATCAAATAAACAAAAGGAAGAGTTCAAAAGCCACTTCAGAAGAGATCAGCTYGCTGATTTCTGACACAAAAAACAATTACAGAAACAGATTCAATCTCTAAAAAACAGACAAGTACTGACAGGAGATGAGCACAGCTATCCAGGAGATGTTATTTCTGGCTCTGCCAAGTCATTTTACCTCTCTGCCTCAGTGGTCTCAACTCTGAAATTATGTGGGGAAACTTCTAATAATTTTAGAATGCTGGACAAAGACTGAAAATGCTAATCATGCTGCAACCAAACCCATTCATCTTTCTCTATTAAAAAGAAAAAAGAGATTCTAACACAAACGTCACATATATAACCAAATCCAAATTTAGTTATATTATACTTAATTTCTCTTCTGAAATAAAATCAAACTTACTAAGCACTAGCATATCACCAAAGGWAACCACCATAGATGAAATCAAGATTTTAAAATTCCCCATAATGGTCCCYAAAATTGTCAGTAGATTTGAAAGAKAGATGCTCACCTTCTGTGACTCCATTAATAGCAAGAGAAATGATTGCCAGSAGATTTTCACATGGAGCTTTGTTTATCTAAACAAAGAAAACAGTGTTGAAATTCTCTGGTCTGACTCAGAAGTATCTAACAAAGCTAAAATTCTTGCTTCCAAGTAGGCAAATTTAAAACAAATATTGACATTCAATTTTCTAAAACAATCTATTAAATTTGACCTGTCAATTAACTATAACATGTTTTTACTGAGTGTGAAACCTTTACTGACTGCTTCCAGCCACTAAAGACCCAAACATGCAGCGAGCAATTTACCTCTGAAAATCAATATTCCACATATAGGCTTCATTCCAGTATTATTTGATCATACATTATTTGACTCCTTTCATCATTCTTTTTAGCTGACAATGCAGCTTTGTTACATATAAGTAACAAACCACAAAATGGCTTAGATTTGAAGAGGCCATAAAGATGCAGTTCCATCCCCCTGCCATGGACAGGGACATCTTCCACTAGGTGAGGTTGCTCAGAGCCCCATCCAACCTGACACKGAACCTTTCCAGGGTTAAGGCATCCACAACTTCTCTGGGCAACTTGTTTCAGTGCCTCACCATCCTAACAGTGAGGAATTTCTTTCTGATATCTATTCTAAACGTACCCTTGCTACCCCCTCTTAAAATAGCAGTTATAGAACAATGYATATTTATGAATTAGAATTTTAAGATAAAGCAGTTTCATAAGGATTACAAAGAAATGCTGGAAAAGGCTCACTCAACAACACTGACTAAAGTATGATGTCTATAAAATACAAAATTTTACCCACCTCTTTGAAGCACCTGTATTTAATCTTAATTAACTACTACCTAGCTCCTGTTTTTAATAAAGTGTTTTCTTAAACTAAACTRAGTAGCTGTTACATTAATCTATTAGCCTGAAAATAGAAATTTGAGGTTCAACAAGATATAAGCWGCAGCAATTTAAAGTACTTACTATTTCTTCTTCCACAACAACTCTAAAAGCTTGATCCAAGGTGCACTTCTTTTCATTTTCACTGCAAATGCAAACATTCCACCTTAGTTAGTAACAACACTCAGGCCCAAGATTACTAGAAGTTATCTAAATAGGCACTTTTAAAAAAATCAAGTAGCCATTACTTACCTCCCAGGAACCTGGTTAAATGCATTCAGCAACGGCTTGATGCTTTTGTTAATCAGGGCCTCTCTGGTAGATGTCTACCAAAATGCAAAGAAAGGTTACACCACCAGTACAAAACTAAAAGATGTCCTCCTTCCTCTGACACTGGGCAGAAACACAAAGGAATCTTTCTGCCACACACCATTYGTCACTTTACAGARAGAACTTTGTAACACGAAGGGCAARTAACAAGGACCTAGGAAATTACRCAYRTGAATTAATAGAGAATCACACCTCAAACAAAGCTGGGCTAAGTGTGGTGAAAACAGCATTTCTAAGTGATACACAGAGGAGCACTCTGTTGTGACCAACACTGCATCTACTGTTGGCTCACGTGCCACACACACTTCAGGTGGTTATAGTGGTTTGGGACACAACTCAGAATATTCTGAGTCAGWCAGTACCCACAAGAATCATCGAGTCCAMCTCCTGGCCCTGCRTGGACAGCCCCAAGAATCCTATCATGTGCCTGAGAGCCTCTCTGTCTTCAAGGGAGTTATCAGCTCCTCCCAATTTTGTATCACCTACAAACTTGCATAGGATCCCTGCAAGTCCTGCGTTTTTACAAATGCTGAAAACCACCAAACTCCCACCGACGAGATGGTCTAAAATTCCCGTTACAAAATCGATCTAATTGATCTAGCGCTTGTGCCTCTCCCACCTCTATGCAAATCCCACCCTCTTGTTTGACAATATGGGTCGCAAACGACGGGATCCAGAGGCCTGGCTACACACGCAGCTCCCCAGCTCTGGCCAAGGAAAAGCATCCCTCAGCAGAGGCGCTGAGGAGGGAAGTAATACTACTGGAGGCACGCCATTTTTACACTGTCTTTCACATTAATTTTCGCTAACCTGAAGGCTGATCCTGCCCTCGGCCGAGGCGGCGCACAGCCCGTCCCCTCTCCCGYACCGCCGTGCCTCGGCCGCGCTCAGCGCTCCATAAAGAGGCGCCCGGGCCGCGGGCCCAGCCGCGCCGAGACACAGCCCGGCCCCGGAGCTTCCCGGCCCCCGTGCGAGCGGCAGGGACGGAGGGGAGGATGGAGGGGCAGAGGGAAGGCGGGAGGGAGCCGCGGGAGCCTCACCGTGAAGCGGAGCCGCGCCTCGGGCAGGCTGAAGAGCGGCGGCGACATGTTCCCGGGCGGGCGGCGCTGGCAGCGCGCGCCGATGACGCCATGGCCCCCGCCCGCCCGGCGGGAAGAGGGAGGAGCGCCGGGCACATCGCGTGTGGCGCCGGGATGTGCCGGGAATCGCCGGGCTGTGGAGCCGCTTCCTTTGGAAAACACCTCCGGGATCACCGAGGCCGACGGTTAACCCCGCACTGCCACGCCACATCCCCAAGGGCCACATCCAAGCGCTTTTTGAGCGCTTCCAGGGATGGTGACTGCACCGCTTCCCTGCACAGCCTGTTCCAATGCTTGCCAGCCCTTTCCGTGAGGCATTTGTTCCTGATATCCAAGCTAAACCCCCCCCGGCACAGCTTGAGGCCATTTGTTCTTGTCCTGTCGCTTGTTGCCCGGGAGAAGAGACCGATCCCCACCTAGCCACAGCTTCCCCTCAGGTGTTGCAGAAATCCATGAGGCCTTCCCTTGATGTCCAGGTGCTAGAAGGATAAATTACTTGTCCGTAGAATTGCCTTGTTAAAGTTTAGGACTTGACWTGTTTCAGTGATCTCAGACATGAAGGATGTTAACAAAGCTTGGGGAGAAGGATGTGCCACTGATGGTGGACACGAAAGAATGTGAAATTTACAGGCCACTGGAACATTTGGCAGAACTCCCGAGATAAGGATGGAATCAACAAAGCCAACTCGGCAACTGCTGAAATCAGCTTGAGCTCAGTCAGAAGTAATTCTGACAGGGAGATTGYGACCACTGTGACTCATGGACCACTGACTTAAGAAACCCACTGACTCGAGAAGGCCTGGCCATACAAGTTAATTAATTAGCATGAGAAGTGAGGGAATYATTTTACCAACAGAAGATAGAATACAAAATTAATAAGAACTGTGTAACTTATAGCCGATGCCTTTGTTTGCTAAAATGTATAAATCGTGAAACATTTTGGTAGTCAGCATGCTGGCTTTGTGGGCTTGCCACCCAGCACCCCTCTACTGCTCAAGACTGTAAATAAATCRAATACCTCGACTCTGTGTGTGGATTGGCCTCTTGAATATCGGGTCAAAGAATCTGTTTTGGACAACGACCTGAGCCTCCTTTTCTCCAGGCTAAACAACCCTATCTCCTCCCTCTCCTCATCAGACTTGTGCCCAGACTCCTCACGTTTTGCTATTACCAAAGTTGAAATGACTCTACAGAGGTGGCTGGTTTTTTTTGGGTTTTTTTTTATTTTTTCTGATAAACAACCCTAGATCATAATCTGCTACCATTTTCATGGTATCACTGAAATAAGAATGATTAGGGACTTTTATATTGTCAGTAAAATCACCTCAGTGCTGATAGTTTACAGATTGAGCAATATCCTATGGATACCTCCTGAGAGACAGAAATATTCCCAGCAGAAGTTACAGTTTTAATTATCATAGAATCAGAATCACAGAATTGCAGAATCACAGATTTGCAGATTTGCAGACCTCCTGAGAGACAGAAATATTCCCAGCAGAAGTTACAGTTTTAATTATCATAGAATCAGAATCACAGAATTGTTTGGATTAGAAGATACCTTGGTGCCTGGCCAAAAGCTCAGGCACTGCCAAACTCTTGTACATCGGTGGGAAAAAGCTCAAACATCCAATATRCTGTTCATATGGGAAGAGGCAAATAATATTGCAATTAAATTTACTGTCATTATTAAACGCTAATGTTTTAAATAACGCATGAAATGATAGATGGGAGAGAGTATGTGGGTTTTTTTTCTGGTGTGCTGTGGCTGTAGTTAGCTTTGGGACCGGGAGAGGGAAGTGTTTGCCCAGAAAAGGAGGATGCAGCCTGAGGGGCTGCTTGGGTGGCTGATTCCAGCCGCTGCTCCGCTGATGGGGATCTGGGGGCATCCTGCCAGCCCAGAGTTTGTCACCTCATCTATAATTGAAACCATTGTTTGATACTGCCTGAAAAATGTGGGCTATGCCAGAGCCATGCCAATTCATTTCAAATCATGGGGAAAAGGGGCTTCATAACATTGAAAATAGAGATCCACATGATCTCTCATTTTGAATGAGTCGCCTGCATGTGCTGTGAAACTTGCTGAAWGTTGTTCATTAGGCTTGGGAGAAAGTTTACTTTTTTTTTTCCTCCAYTGTTTCTCATTTCTTATTTTAATAAATTAAATCATATTATCAGCTGAATAAAGGGCCATTTAAAATGAATAATTTAAGTTTATTCTAGCCCCCATCTCTTGCTGTATGCAAGAGAACCAAAGRAGAGCTCTCTGAATTGTTTATTAAAAAAAGCTTTTAAACTTTAAAAAGATGGTAGAAAGTGAAAGTGTTCTAAGGAGATACTGTTAAAGGAAATGGGGTCGTTTTTGACTATAAATATTCCTTAAGCCAAGACTAATGTTTTATATGAACAGAGGACTGCCAACATGCTGAAAAAAGCAGTACATTATACTTGTTAATGAGTACAACATGACTGAAGACTTTTTTTTCTTGGGATAGGAACAAGTAAAGAGGAAGAACAATGTTACCGCTGTGATTTAATAGTGATTTATAGGCACCTCTTGTTCGATACCGCCTTTTTCCTCTTTTTGGAACGGTGTTTGTTACTTTCTCGTGGGTCCAGGGATTGACACCGTGCTGTTAGTGCTCGTGTTGGGCTGTGGACAAATGAGGCTGCAGTGCCTGAAGAAGTTCTCACCCCTGCAGCTGCCGTGCAGAGACCGCTAYTTCAACAGCAATGCCAGCAGCGTGTCACTTCTGCTTGCCACGTGGTGTCGTCACTGTGCAAAATCTGACAACATCACTTAAAGCCATCCTCATCACCTCCTTAACAGAGAAGCCGAACTGTGCTGCGGGCTGGCAGACAAAAAATTGCTCTTTGGTTTTGGGGATCAGAAACTCACTCAGAGGAATAAGTTAAAATTATCTTGGGTATGAAGAGGAGTCAGTGTACTAAATTAGCTAGCAGTATATTAGAAAAAACTGTGTCTTCTAGTATGTGCTAGGTGGGAAGCTAAGTGGGGAAAAAGGAGTAAATATTGCTTTCTCYAAAAGTATTGTAAGCCAAATAATTTTTCAGCCCAGACTTAAATGCTATCGCCAGCTGAAAGCTCAGATGGATGAATGCAATCAACAGCAACAGCATCTCAGGATGTCTCTGTACTCAGAGGTCACTTACAGAACAGATGTTCTATCATATTATGTCAAGATGCTGTGTAACTGGAATTACAGAAAACTTCATGCAAATGCTGTCTTTTGGAATAAAATCCTGTTCCAAGTTGAATTTGTATTTTAATTTCTGCTACCATCCTACAGAAGGGCGTGTTTAGAGATTCCATAGCCTCCCATCTCTGATGGCACTAGGGGTTAGTGCTTTATTCTCTCTTCTTCATTGCCCACCCTTGTGCTAAAGTGCTTTYCTTCTCAACCTTCTTCCTTCCCCACCACCTTGCACACAATCCAGTGTAGAAGTACGGGCATGAAAGCTGAATGAATTGCTTTATTTACTAAGCTACTTGCCTTAGTAGCCCAGTTTAAGTAGCTTAYCTGTTATTTTCCAACCAGTCTTGGGAAGTTGCACAAGGCACTTTTATCTTTTAAACATTGATGAATACAAGGTGTCCTACCTTAGGCACTTAATTTTAAGGTGCCCTGCCAACCACTGTAGCTTGTTACTGACTGATACAATTAATAATGTGTGGACTAATGAAGGAGAAGCTAGATTAACAAAAAATAGCCCCTCAGGAAAACTTAAATAACATTTTTTAAAGTGAATAATAGAGATTCTTTCTGCATTTTATCAGTGTATTACACTTTTCACCAGAACATGTAACTTTTATGTTTTTAAAGTRTCATGRTGATGTTCCGCTGCATTTAAGACTTTCAGGATTTCCTCTCAATTTATTGAATAAATTGCTGAGGAATATGTGCCACATGATCCCATTGTCTCATACCAGCAGAAACATTTYACTGATATATTTTGGTGGCATTTTTCAAATAATTTGGCAAGASTGTTTAGAAAGGGTTCATTTACCTGAATTCACCTAGAAGACTGCTTCCCATGTGAGTCTGAGAATGACAGATTTTTCTGCTYCTCATCTTTTATCTGGGACATGGGACTTGCTAACATAGTACTCCTGGAATACTGCCACTCTGCACATAGGTGGAAATATGGTCACAAACAGCAGTGATTGTCAAATGATCCACTAAGGACTTTATTGACCAAGACCAGGGATTTGACCTTAGAGTCAAAACCTTGTGGAATTGTTTACCATAAATTGTTTCTTTTATTCCAATGCAGAAAATGTGTCATTTTTGTTGCCAAAATAATTTACTAAAATTTGTATCTCTGTACTACTAATACTATGGAAATTGGCTTTTTTTCAAAAGCGAGGTGTCACACATCTGGCTGCTACTCACAAAAATCTTGCTATTAACAGCTTCTTCGCTCACATAGCAATAATGTTTGGATTCTAACCTAACAATACTATTGTGATTTCAGCAGAGGACTTGGATTAGTTGGACACTTTTTAGCTAGAATTTCCTTACAACATACCTCTCATTTTGAGCAAACTCTGTCATGGAACCCCTTTAATTTAATTCATGAGTGGTTTTAATGTCAAACTTAGTTATTAAAGAATGCAGGAAGGCTTCTGGACCACATGCCTATGTTTCTATAGCACAAGTGCCTGGGGTTACTTTCACATCTGCCAGTGGTATGAATTGTGAGGAATGTTGTTGTTTTGTGATCATGCTACTGAAAAATGATACCATTTTTGCAGATTCAGTTCCTGTAGATTGCACTACTGACACTCATTCCTTCCTTGATGTCTTTTTGAGCTTCCTCRTCAATATTCAGGTAAAATGCAGCTCTGCCCCAAAGAACTTCTAGTTTGAACATACGCATAAAAAAAACATGCAAAAGCCAGTGGAAGGGGTGGGCAACTAATTCCTATCATAAGCTTTTGAAAACAAGCTTTTATTTGAGGATAAATTTGAAGTAAGWGAGCAAAGATACTCAGCAATCCAGTCTTGGGGTTATAAGAAAGAAGTCA